GTCAAATAAAAGTTCTCAAGTGATATAGTACAAAGTAGTCTCTTGACCTGATGCATGAGTGCAATATCTTACATGTTAGTATAGATGTACTTAGACTTTTACCTAACCACAGTTCTCATTGAGTTGTGTATAATGGTTCTTGTTTGGTGCATCCCGAGACATAAGTAGATATTGATATGCCAAGATGGGATACGTCTCTACCAGTATAGGGGGTTGATGTCATAAGATTGTTTGATATAACTATAGCTTAGAAATCCTTAGCTGAGGTAAATAAGATAAACTGAGTGTTAGTTTGATCTTAAAGGTTATGAGTTTAATATCAACAAACACTAATCAAGCTATTAGGGTTTGACAGTTTACCATACCCTAGGCTCGATAGTTTGACATGGTTTGACGAAGAGACCGGACTGTACGGTATTATCACTGAGTGGTCCTGATAAAATTATGTAAGCATCTCACAAAAATTTATCACAACTTATACCCGAGTAGTCTTCATGTGTAGCTAGCACCTCTGTTGTACTTGTGGATATGATCCATTGCCGAATCTTAAGTTGGGCCCTAGAGTCACACTGAGCGCGTACTTGAATCCTATGAAATACAATTTATAGAGTTAATGCGTATAATTGATACGCATATATGATTTTCACCGAATACACATAAACGGTTATATGTATCGGTAAAATCAGAATCCTATGTGCTTAAGAAATGATTTTTATTATTTTTCTCATAAAGTTAACTTTTAGTCAACTAGTTGACTTTTTGGTTAACAGTTGACTTTTGGTCAACTCATTGAATTTTTGGTCATATGATGACTTATTAGTTAATGATTGGAAAATTACGAAATATCGTATTTATGGAACACCGTATTAATATGGTATTTTTGTTTATGAAATACTCAATTCATTATACCTTGATTAATGAGTCATGAGATGAGTCATTAAGGTGGTATGGTTTGGGAACATAGTTTTAGCACATGGTTTTGATTCTTCATGACTCTTTGCATGACTCATGAGATGAGTCATTGCATGACGCATGAAAGGAATCATTATATTTAGATAACTCATGGCATGACTCATATATATAGAGAGAGCTCTATATATATGAGCTCTCTCTCTCTTATGGAGAGGTTAATGAAAAATTGGCTAAGTGGTTTTTTTCATAAGAGAATAAAAGAGAGCTCTACCTCTTACTAAACTCTAGCAATCTTTGAGTAAGAGGAAGTAGTAGGATTTTTAAGTACCCCAGGGTGGATATCTTGTCTTGTGTCTCAAGAAGACTCTGATTTTATCAAGCTCACTTGAAGACTTGGAGATCCACTACAAGAAGGAGTACAATAACAAGGAGAATGAGCTAGGGGTTATTCGATCTACCATCGAATCACGCTACGAAAGTAAGCCTTCGAAGCTCTCAGTTGCTCTCTTTATTATAGGGATCATGTTAGATTTAATTAGGATGGTCCTAGTTTGTATTTCATGCTCTCTATATGCTTAGTATTATTATACATACAGTATTCCGCTGCGTATTTTGCATGTAATAAGCACGGGATATCCAACAACATAATGGTCTCTTCCAAGTTTTGAGCATTGAGAGTATCATGTATGTCGCTCATCCACAAACCAAAGTTGATCTTACCGTCATATTTCACCACACTAATCTTAGTGTTTTGAAATCCAACCTGAACTGTACTCTCCATTGTCTTGCTGCTTTCACCAACTTTTTCTCCCATGCTTACAAACTCCAAATTGCAAAAAAAAAAAGATTCAAACTTTGATAGAAATTGAGAAATTACCCAACTGAACCCTAGATCGGATTCCAAATAGATCTCCTAACCACACGAAGAAAGCAAGATCCCAATGGCAACTTCGCAATGCTATCTCCACCGAAGCCTAGAACTCCAAGAACCAAGCTTCCACAATGAATCTTCCTCCATCCAATGCCAAACCCTAGATCTAAAATCTAAAGCTCTGATACCAATTATTTCACGCCGTGCGAAAGCGTGCTCGACAACCAAAAGAGTTCGCGAGCGATGAGAGAAGAGATCCAAACCAAATTACGAGTGCAATTTACCAAAATACGACACAAATCAAACCAACACAGAGAATTTACGTGGTTCCGCAAATTGCCTACATCTATGGGGAGAGGATGGGGATATTTCACTCTATGGAGGAGAAATACAATGGGTTATAACTCACACAATCACTCAAATATAACCCTAATCAAATATCTCAACTCCCTCACAATATCTCCCTCTCAATATGCTCAAGTAACTTTTTTTTCTCTCTAATTCTCTCTGATAATTTTCTCTTCTAAAATGTTCTATATATATAGAAATCCTAAAACCAAAAACATACTAGGAATTCTAAAACCAAAATAAAAAAGATTAGAAATCTTAATAACCTGTTACCAAAATAGATTAGGAATCCTAATAACATGTTACCAAAACAGATTAGGAATCTCAATAACATGTTACCAAAACATATTAGGAACATGCTATCCAATAGGGGTAAGAGAGGGAGAGGAAGGAGAGGAGGACTTCTAGGATTTCCTGAATCTCGTGAATACATATGCTTAGATTGCTCAAAATTATTACTTATATGGATGGATTTTCGTGTATATATATAGTTGGATTTTCGTGTGTGTCGTGGAATTTCATGTATATATGCGGTTAGAATTTCATGTGTAATATGTGGTTGGAATTTCATGGATGTGGTTGGATTTTCATGCATGTGGTTGCAATATTTTGCATATGTAACAGGTTGTGCACGAGTTTGATAGCTCGATGCAACAGGTTGTGAATAGCGTTAATAGTTCATCGTGCATCCAGGTTTGTTGATGGCCAGCATCTTCACAGGATTCTAAATCCTGTGAAGTTGTAGGGTCAGCTCTACAAAGAGTCCAAAGTTGAGCTCTCTGTGGGACTGACATTGCAACTTCACAAGATTCTGAATCCCGTGGAGTTTGTATTAATCAAACTACACAGGATTCCAAATCCTATAGAGTTTACTGTAGTGCAAACTCTAAGGGATTCAGAATCCCATGGAGTTTAGTTTAGTTATTAATTTCATGATAAACTACACGAGATTCTCAACCTCATGTAGTTTTTTGCACTTATTTAGCATTTTCAACCCAGTTTCAGCTATCTGGCTGAAACGAGGTCAAAAATGGTAAATAAATGCAATTAGCATTTTCAACCCAGTTTCAGCCATCTGGCTGAAACGGGGTTAAAATGGTAAATAAATGCAATGTGGATCGAAAATGGTAAATAAAATTCAAATATGGTCGAAAATGAAAACTTGTCCTAATACATACACTTACAACCTTGGCCCCCTCAACCTAAAATTATGGCCCCTGCTTTCAAATGCTATATTATATTATAAGTTTGTATATAAAACCTTAGCTATAAAATTTCTCAATGTCATACATCATCTTAAATTATATATACTAAACGCAAGTATATCCTTGGGCTTTTAAGATGTTCTAAAAGATAGATACACCTTCTAAGTATTTCAAAAATTACAAATTTTATAGTAAAGTGTCGAGTTTTATAAAAACATTATAAATTTCTAAAATTTATAAGTAAACCCCAAATTTTGCACAAAACCCCTTAATTTTTTTAATTTCACAGAACAAATATGAAAATTTTGCATGAAAAATCCTAAAATTTCATAAACATGCAAATAGAGCACTAGAACTTCATAAATTTAGAGATTAATGCCAATAAACTTCAAAATGAACCTCATTAAAATTAATATTTTTATAATAAGAAAAGCACAAATAAGTCATCAAGGCTTTATTCCCAAAATAAAACTTTACAACAAATTATAACAAATTACATAAAAAAGATTTAAAAGATAAAACAAGATACTAGTATATTGAAATACCGTGCCCAGATAATTTCCACCTTGGGAGTACTGCATTAATTAATCTGTCTCTTCCACCAATTGAAAGTGCTATTGCAACTCCACACAGCTGAGCTTTTCTCGATTCTGTCCATGATGAAAAATCCATCATGCTTTCTCAGCTTCGCGCAGGATTGTAGGCAGATTTTTCCTTTTTTTTTTCTTTTTAAGGAATTTGTAGCAAAAATAATGCAAAGGGATCCAGATGCATCATAAAATCTTTAACGAGGGAAATCAGCTCAATTTTCGACTCCCTCGAGTCAATGGCATCAATAATGGAGAGGATAGAAATTTATCCCGTTAATTTCACACGAGCTTTCTTTAACGTCTTGGGGATGAGTTGCACAAAACTCCTCTCAACTTTGATATTTAGAGAAACCGTTTTTGCTCGAACAAACTGGAGAAACGAGAACTATCCTGCTCCAATGTATTCTAAAAAGAACATTCAGAAGAATGTAACGACCAAAGCTCAGGTCACTACCTGATTCTTGCTCGACGACAGAAAGTTGTAAAAAACAAATTTCAGTGAAGTCAGTACAAAGCTCTGAAATTTCCTCCATACCAAGCATCAGCGTGCCCAGTGATCGCATGATTCAAACTTTAGCAGAGTAGTGAGAGAAGAGACAAACTATCCTTACGTGACTTACATGCACATACTCTTCAAAGCAAAAATTCCAGTGCACATGGCTATTTTGAGGGGGAAATTTCCATATACGGCACTCTACAGAAAATCATATGGAGACAAAAGAGAACATGACGTGTTTACTAGGACTTATAAATTATTGCAACCAGTGTCAGTGACAGTGCAATCAAAATTATTGTGTAAGTGCAATAACCGAGTTTAAAATTTGTATCATAACACATGTAATGATCTCCTTCATCCCTATATGCCACCTATCTTCAGGATCAGTGCCAGAGAACCTAACAGTTATCAAATACTACACCTGAATTCATGGACTACATTTTTGATAAACCCAGTAGTAACAGAAAAATGAAAGAAAAACAGCTAAACACACATACAAGAGCCTGGGGAAGGATGATCACTGCCTGGGAACCAATGCCTCAGTCAGGGATCACAGGAAAATAAAGAATCCATGCAGATGAATTAACCTTGTAGGTTGAAGTTAGTTTTCTCATTTGAAGAAAGCAAAAGTGTGCAGAAAATTCCGCTAGTAACAGAAAATTAAAGAAAATAAAAGCCTGTGAAAGAATGCTCACAACCTGGCAACAACTATACACCAGAATTCCAATACCATGATCAGAGATCAAAGCAGACATACAAGGGAATCCACGAAGATGTATTTACAAAGAAGCCGATCTCTTGAGGACAGGTTTCGTATGCCTCTCTTCATCGAGGGCTATAATTCCCAAGTGTGCTGGATTCGTAACCAAAATCTTTGCCACTAAGTAACCAGCAATTGACCATGTTTGAAGTTTTCTAGCTTGTTTCCCGATGTATCTGCCAAGCTTACCATCATAGTATTCGGGCCACCAGTCCTTTGAAAGCTTGGTCTCTGCAAGCTCGATAGCTTCTCTTGCTATGTGGGGTCGTCCTGTTTTGATGCTTGCTGCGGTGAGAAGCCAAAGAAGTACTGCAAGTGAATGAATGGTCAGCTCTGTAAGTACCAATATAACAAAGAAACTATACATAATGCATTCGATGAATTTAACCTTTGATGTAGAAGGATATAAGCATTTTAAATGTACCTAACTATCCCCAACACTAAAACAAATACTAGAGGAAAACAATTTAGAGAACAATCAAGAAAGAACATAATTTATGCTTGAAAAGTATCAGGTATAACACAAAAAACTATATCCATAAACCATACAGATCAAACAATATCCAATTATAAGGTATCTAATGCATTTAATGAACTTTACCTTTTTTAAGGATTTAAGCATTTTAAAGGTCCTTAAATTAATTAAAACAAATACTACAGGGAAACAACTTAGAGAACAACAACAAATGAATATAATTGTCATGCTTGAAAAGTATCAGGTATGCAAAATAGTTGTCTCCATTTAAACGATGGAAACGTAATTCATTGCAAAATGAACATATTGGCAGGAGAGAACAATGGTGCAGAAACCTTGAGATAACCCAATAAGCTAAAGGTATTGCTGCAAGTTGAACACTCTGGGAATTGTTTGAGGAATATCACAAAATGCCATATGTACAATCAGAGTATTGAGGCAGACCAGTTTAAATTGTAACAATGAACATAAAACAACATTCCAGCATTATACAATCACTGCTCAAGGGGAAAAAGAACTTGTCTCAAAGGTTAAAAAGTAAGACCTTAATCTTGAATATTTATGTTGCTAATGAATGAGTCGTTATATTTATATTAAAGTTATTAGGCAGATTTAAGAATAATGTGGATATTCCATTCAAGATTTCAAGTGAATTTCACGACATAACAGCATAATCTTAAAGGTGATATACATAATGGACTATGGACACTGTTACTTCCCTCCAAAAAAAGGTGATGAAGAAGTATTTAAAAATTTCAATCAATTCTAACCCTATTATCATGGATAGAAGATCTCAGAGACACGCTGTTATAAAGTAAAAGAAAAACAGGATGAAATTCCTACTCGAGCAATAAAGTAAATATGAGCACCATTCTAGGGTAACATGTGAAGTAAATCATGATGCTGAAAGCTCTAACTGGTAGAGGGTAAGATGCTTTATATAAACCGGACAAGATAACAAGTCCATGATTGGCATCCCTACTGATGAAATATTAGTTGGAAGGAAATTTGAAAGGTTTTCTCCTTTAAATGTCCCAAAAGTTTGGGATAAAGGCTTTTGTTATTGTTTGTAGGTGTTGCTCCTAAATGTGTTCTTCGGTTTCTTTTCTATGTATTAGCATCTACTATTAAGTTTGAAGGAAGCTAAGAATCACAGTCTTCTAGTTTGCCGAACAAGGAGTCATCTACTCCTACAAACTTTATATGTCTGTCTTGTCACACTTAGTGGACAGAGTTTCTTGAAACCCATGGCATGTCTAATTTTTGCCAGTTTGAAACATAAACTACTCCTCCCTAATAGAAATGTCCATGAAAGAGGTAAGTTTTAGATGCAGAATAAATGCTTCATTCATAATTTCCATTTTGTATTAAGCATATCAGTTATGCCAATTTTTATTCATGCACCTTTCGTTTTATACCAAGGCATATATACTTACCTATTTCTACATATATTAATTTTGTAGACTTCATATGCGATTGCAAACATAGAAATGCACATTAGAGCTAATTAAATAGCGGGTTTAGATTGGAAAGCAAAACCACCCGCAAATGACATCAGCAGTTCTAATAATGTTACATAAACGGAAAATGTACCATAAGAAAGAACCAAACGAGGAAGCATCCACAGTAACAATTACAGTGAAAATAGGATAGAAGTCGATGTGACGAAGATAATGACTAATATCAAAGCAAGATACATGAAACATTTCTACCTGAAACAAGTTAGTGTAAATGAACTGTATGGAACACACAAAGAAGCTTAACATTCCAAGGAAAGCACACATCAAACAGAAAATGTTCACAGAAATCATCAACCAAGAAATTAGCCGAAAACTGGACAAGCCAAATCCAAAAGGATAATCAAACATATGAAACAAACTAAATACTGTTAGTTGAATGAAAGAAAATAGAAGGATCAACTTTGTTGAATTGGAATATAGGGTAATTCAATAGTATTATACTAGAAGCAGCAGGCTACTTTATCTGACCATGTTTGTGGTTGAAAATAGTAAACCAATGAAGCAGTACCATGCCTCAATATTTTATGTATAGTCATTTATGGAAAAAGACAGAAATTTTGTTCCAGTTCATTTGGTGGAAAATGTCAAAAACTCAAGAATACATGCGTAAGTTACTAAAAAATAAAAAAGCTGGACTGCAAAAAGCGAATCGAGCATCCGATCTAACAAAGAGGGGCTGAAAGACCCTTTTTCTTGATCAGAACGAATGAAAAATAGTTAAGCAATAATTGATTTGCATTACGAGACTACTACATAGAGCATCCCCTATATGAATGTACTTTGTTAACAATCCTTTTACATAGCGGACTTCTAGCTTATATATTTTGTGTTAGTTTCAGTACATTTAAATACATGTATATGTACATATGCTACATCTACTAAAAAAATAATGCTTCAGAAAGGATTACCTGGCCAGGATCCTCCATTGTGGTAGCTCCATCTAGTGTTTTTTGGATCACAGCCAGTAACTATATGCCATTCATGACTTTCTAGGGCTGGATAAACCACCTTTAAAGGCATTTCTCCGATCAATTCTGGCCAACGCTTTTCTATAAGATCCATGATGGCTGCAGACTGCTCTGATGAGGCCAAAGATGATATAATTGCCATACAGTTACCCAAGCAAAACCACCGGAAGTCCATTCTAGAAGGACTAACATTTCCAACAAAGTAACCGCCATTATTTGGCATAAAATCAAACAACCAATCCGGAAGAGAATCCGGCATCACATTGAATTTGTTAACTGCAGTGTGAGAGTACTCCTCTGTTTTAAACCGATAGATGTTATTGAGCTGCCGAAAGTCAAGCCAAAAGTATGTTTTCATATGATAGCCCAAGGCATGAAGTCTTTTAATTATCATATCGATGAACTCCTTCCCCTCTTCATCATGCTTAAGCAAAACCAATGAACATCTCAACGCCATAAAAAACAGTGCTTGTATTTCAATAGGATAACCATAAATGCCCTGTGGTAACAGATTAACAATAATTTAGTTCAACACAAACTACAAACAGTGATTGGAAACACTAAACATCAAGTACTTCGCGGAAAGAGAAAAAAGTATCATTCAAAAAGCAAGAAATGTGCCAGGTAAAAACCAACAATCCCACATCTGAGCAAATGCAAGAAATATCCAATCACAAGGCATGAATTTATTGAAATCCTGCACACATTATCCTAAAAAGAGATGAGAGTAGGGCGTCAATATATGGAACTGGGTTGTTTTATCAACTTTTGCATGCTTAGTTGCTTATAGTTACTTTATATTATCACTTTATTCTTTTCTGGTGATACTGGCCAAAGGCCTAAACATAAGTTATCCAAAACAAGACCAAAACAAAAGCAAAGAACAATTAGCAGAAAAATGAAACATCCAAAACTCCGAGCATTCACGAGTATAATAAGTTAAGCATTTGTGCAAACCAACAATTCTCCTGTCAATAGATATTGATTACAGTCCTTTGAGTTCAATGATATTGTATACAGAGATTGTCTGCATTCAAGGTGTTGCTTAATTTCTTATTATACTTTTTAATCAGATATTGTACTTTTTACCTCAAATTTCCTATTTGGGATTCTGATTTCATTAAAATTGACAATGTCATATAGCCACAGAATTGAAATTCAATGAACTTGAATGCAATTGGATCATTGGTTGCCTTGTATAGATGATAAATTTCAAAGACAAACTTTGAATAGTTGACTCCATGTGTCAATTTAGGTTAAGATCAAGAACGAATACATGTATGAATCATATGAAAGAGTACTGCAGTCAAAGAATATGGTAGGTTGACAGTAGAAGTTTCATGTTTGGTGAAGTCTGTAAAATATTCGCCAAGGTAGTCAATAGAAGCTCACCATCCTTCGGTCAATCATGCAGCAACCATCAGCACAAAGTAAAGTGGGAAAAGTATCAAAGCCTTCAGCGAGACAGAGAGTAAGAATAAGCCGCATGCCCTTTTGACAATCAGGACTTTCAGCCAATGAAGTATCTCCTGTAGACTTAGTGTATGCATGGAGCAATATTATCCACCAAAATCCAGAATCAACAGGGGCAACTCTACCAATTGCACTTTCCCCAAAATCAGCAACTAAACTCTCAGTTTTCTTCACTGGGTCACGGACGACTTTAAAGCTTGCAGGCATTACTCCCTCTCCTAACTTGAAGAGATCAACCTTCTTCTCTGCTGATTGAAGACGAAGAGTTTTCAGAAGGAAGTTCTTTACTATTTCTGGCTCACCATTCATTAAAAATGCTAGGCCACTTGGAACAAAGTCCCTCATGAATACCTAAACGAACAAGTCGAAGTTAGAGCCAACAATGTCATTACATATAATCATCATGTACACATATTCTGAGGGAATGAGGTACTACAAAATAAGTCCCTAGGCGACAAAGCCAAAATGAATCAGACTAAGAGTTCAAACGCCAAAGTAAAATTTTATTACCGCATAATACATATAACACATTATAATAAATTCCAAGGCTACAAAATACCTTGGAGCAAGTTGGAAAGATGCTTGCAAGGACAAAACACACATATCAAAAACAAGAAACAAGGACAGTGTTAGAACAAGAAAGAAAGAATCTGTGATCAGGTTGATTATCCATATTCACCCTGAAAAAAAAGGAGGGAGAGAGAAAATTCCAAGACTTGTGATTCGTAAAGAACAGCATGAGACCAACAGACCAAGGATTTCTGATCACATACACGTTTGGTTATTGACCAAGTTCTAAGAACAGCATAAGACCGACTGGCCAAGGATTTCTCGTCACATATGCATTTGGTTATTGATCAAGTTCGGGCTATTTAGTACAATGAACTAGCTCATATTTAATAACATAATTACATGGCATGGAAGACAAAATCTAATTAAATGATTCAACTTAAACTTGAAACAGATTGATAGATAACTGAAACAGTTGGAAGAAATATATGAAGATTAAGAAAACAAATGTCTGCACCTTCAAGGCATAGTGCACATAAGATGGTAAAATGCCAATTCAAATGAAACAGCAGTAGATATCAACTGTTAAGCATCTAGAACTGAAAAGCTACAAACATAGCTCTATAGCAGATAATAGATCAATGTTTTCTTTGGACAATAACGCAGCAGCACACAGATACATTTAAAAAAAAGTCTCTAGCTTTAGTGAGAAGGACCTGATCATAGTTGAGAGCTGCTTCTGAAGTGTCCAGTGCAGCAATTGTCCCAACTGGTTGACCTCCGAAGTAAACCAATGACTGTCTCAAGGCCGCCCAAGCTTCCATTACCATCGGATTCGATTCAGAGATATTGATTTCCTTTGGAGTGTTCGCACAAGAATTCTTTCCAGAAGAGACACTTTCCTCTTCAATCCTTAAAGGCTGAAGTTTCTTGAGAGGAGCACGAGGTGGTGGAGAATCAGTATGGAGCCCGTGAAAGGATCTCTCCTCACAAGTCAAGTGCCGCTCAAGTTTGGACTTTTCTCGCAACTTTGAGAAAAGATCTGACTCCATAGACAGCATGTCTGAGGCTTCTGTGTCATCTCCTTGAATAGAATCCACGTTTATTGAGGGCATTATAACAATTCAGACTAATAGCTCAATACGATTTCACTTGTGTCCAAGAAAAAGCAGTCTGCAGACTCAATAAGATCAAGCACCAAAAAATTATGAGATAAACTCATAACAAAATTGTAGGATGAGAAAACTATTACAGGTAATGCAGTTGTTAGACAAGTCCAATAGAACTAACTCCTGTTGATGGAGTCAATCATCAAAAATAGGAAGGACTAAGTATGGATCTTAAGGAACATTTTTAGGATGATAAAAACTGTTTTTAGTATACCTGTGATGGCTTACTATTAATACATGCCTGGTTACTGATTTCGGATTTTGTTTTCATTTAAGAGAACTAGTTTCTTTTTTCTATTACGTTTTGAAAATAAATATGCTTATTCTCTGTTCGTTTCAATTTAAAGCCAAAAACACAGAGCTATTACATTATGAACCACAGAATATCGAATGGAGTTTAGTGTTTCATTGCTTAAGATAAAAATTGCACCGAAGAACAAAACAAAATAATAGAATTGCACTAACATTTAAGACCCAAATGAATCCAATTTGTAATCAACTCTCTTGTCAGATAAGACCAAATTTTACCTAAGCTAACAGTTCCAGTCAAAAATTAAATTAAACAGCAAACTTAAAAAAAATAAAATCAAGGCAGAATTCAGTATCCAGATCAACTAGAAGAAAACGCCACACTTTCAAATGACAACCTAGATCCCACATTTCAGAACACTAATGAACATAACTACTTCAATCTAATGCAACAAACACGTACAACGCAAATTTCTCATACAATTGAGAAAAAATATAAATCGAGTAACCAAAAGAATCTCAAAAAAGAAAAACATAAAGTATATCCAAACAAACACAACATACTAATAAAAATCAATAAATTAGTACTAAACAAGAACATAAGCGATTGAACAGCAGAAGAAGCGAAGCACACTTCATCAATTATCAAAAAGAAACACGTCAGAGATTGCATGCAAGTTGTCAATTCAAGAATTCAAACTAATCATTCCACACAGAATTCAAATTAGAAACAAGATTAAAACAAAGTTACCTCAAAAACCTCTAATGCAGCTCATCGGGAAAAAAATCATAGAAAAATCAAGAAGTCAAGATTAAAATTCCTCATACAATTGCAACAAAAAATAAATAAATAAATAAAGTACATCCAGACAATCACAATATGCTAGTAAAAATCACGAAATTAGTATAAAGAAACATTGTGACTGATCGAACCGCACGATAATCAAGGCACATTTCGTTGATCAGCGCAAAGACGAAAATCATACAAAAATCAAGAAGACGAACCGATTGCAGGATTTCGTCGCTAATCTCAAGCACAGCACACATACAGTGCAAAATTTAACATATAATTGCGGAAAAAATCACATGAAAAGCAAAATATTTCTAGACGATCACGACAAGCTACTGAAAATCAAGAAACTAGTAAGAACGAACAGCGTTAATGATCGAAGCGCGCGAGAATCGAGGCACATTTCACCTGCAGACTGTTCTCGATTCGAGATTTCACCTGCGAGCGGGTCGCAATCGAGAGCTACTCGAACTCAGACGAAACCCTAGAAATTGATGTAGAGATTTTTTTTTGAGGAGGGAGAAGAGAGCGATGGAGTGTAGAAGAGGCGTAGATATATAAGTGGAGTGAAAAGAAGAGGGAAGCAGCAAATACGTGACGGGGTGGTGACCTGTTGCTGCCGGTTCCATGGGGGCGGAGGTGACCGGATGTAGCCGGTGGAGTTCTTGGAAAAGGGAGGGGGTTGTTTTACTGCTGTGATAGGCTTTTGGCGGGCCGATGTTTCGAAGCCGGACGATTTATCCGGGCTTCACGGTTTCACTCGTTGGTCATTATCGTTTAAGACCTCCAATTTCAATTTCTATGGGGTAAACAATTAGTTTGACTTTGAATTTTAAATTATGGTGGTGGTCCCGCCTTTGAGTGAGGCCATGAAAATGTCCGATTGAAACTCTTTTATGGGAACTTTTTAATATATAAAAATTAATGTAGTGAAGGAATGCAGATTTAAATAATAATAATATGGAATTGGTGAGAAATGATATAACCTAAGCTACATATATGCTTAAATTTACTATTATCAAATTGTAAAGCAGAATCAATTTTTGAATCCCATGTTATCATAACAAAATAGGTGATGTCCCAGATCTATATGGTTAATAATATTTTGCTATACCAAATAATTAGTATGCAGCATCAAGTTTTGTTCAACCCAAAATATTTCAAGCACATAGAATTACAAGCACCTACCCACATCCATAAAAGAAAATAATAACTATCTACCTATTGATAAAGAAAATATCTATCAAAATCATATCAAGTAGTTGGGCTTATCAATGCAAATCCACCAAAAAGAAATATACCACATACAAAAGTTTACTAAATAGGATTTTAGACCAAGAACCATCAAAACAATATAGTTCATACAAAAGTTTACTAAGTAGGATTTTTGATCAAAATACTAAATATAAGTTTTAAACATCATATATCAGATAGAGTTTTTTTTTTAAAAAGCAGCTTCAACTATCTCTCCAAAATATTCTAATTCGTGACCGGATGTAGCCGGTGGAGTTCTTGGAAAAGGGAGGGGGTTGTTTTACTGCTGTGATAGGCTTTTGGCGGGCCGATGTTTCGAAGCCGGACGATTTATCCGGGCTTCACGGTTTCACTCGTTGGTCATTATCGTTTAAGACCTCCAATTTCAATTTCTATGGGGTAAACAATTAGTTTGACTTTGAATTTTAAATTATGGTGGTGGTCCCGCCTTTGAGTGAGGCCATGAAAATGTCCGATTGAAACTCTTTTATGGGAACTTTTTAATATATAAAAATTAATGTAGTGAAGGAATGCAGATTTAAATAATAATAATATGGAATTGGTGAGAAATGATATAACCTAAGCTACATATATGCTTAAATTTACTATTATCAAATTGTAAAGCAGAATCAATTTTTGAATCCCATGTTATCATAACAAAATAGGTGATGTCCCAGATCTATATGGTTAATAATATTTTGCTATACCAAATAATTAGTATGCAGCATCAAGTTTTGTTCAACCCAAAATATTTCAAGCACATAGAATTACAAGCACCTACCCACATCCATAAAAGAAAATAATAACTATCTACCTATTGATAAAGAAAATATCTATCAAAATCATATCAAGTAGTTGGGCTTATCAATGCAAATCCACCAAAAAGAAATATACCACATACAAAAGTTTACTAAATAGGATTTTAGACCAAGAACCATCAAAACAATATAGTTCATACAAAAGTTTACTAAGTAGGATTTTTGATCAAAATACTAAATATAAGTTTTAAACATCATATATCAGATAGAGTTTTTTTTTTAAAAAGCAGCTTCAACTATCTCTCCAAAATATTCTAATTCTCACTTTTCAATTGTGATTTGTTTCTGCTTTTTGTTGCTTGACATTTGTGGAGAAATCAATTCTACAGAAACTAAGTGCTCGATATCAGACTCCAACGAATTCCTCTTGCAAGGAGTTACGTTATCTGAGGAATAAATTTTAGCTTTATTGTCGCAAGTGACCGAAAGGGTGTCCTATATTACAATATAACATAACAATTAGCATGTTAGTGAGGCACCAGGAAAAGATTCTTGCACTGTTAATTTGAAGAATCAAAAAATCAATAGTAAAGTGGAAAGAAATATATTATCAGTGATTGATTATGAAAAATCAAGAAATCAATAATAAAGCGAAATAGCAATCAAGCTGAAATCCAATTTAAAAGATAAGAGAATAGAAGATTTTTTGAGTAGCAGTGAGAATAATAAGTAATTGATTATGATGTTTGTCGTCTTCATGTATATTCTATTATTTTCTTTTAGTTAAACATTAGGTTGCATATTTTTGCTTCTTTTTGTAGAGATGGTTTTGTTTGGGGGTAGGATTCATGAGAAGATAAGGGAGGGAGATTATTTTTAGTGGCTCAAGATTCAATCTTTATGCAAGTCTTTTTAACATCCACTGCCAACAAATAGTATTGGAATATAAGTGTGGCAAAAAATATTGCATATATCCAATTATATATGTCAAGTGGTTTTATGATTAAATTTGTTTGAATGTTAGGTTTGTTGAGAGTTTCTATTGATCATGTCATCTCGCATTGTTCCTAGAAATTGTAAACGTTAAGGTATTTTCGTAGGTATTAATTTTTGTCATAGTTGAGCTTAGACGGAGTTTATACATACAAAATTACAAACAATAATACTAAGTGTATTGACTTACAGTATCAAAAGCATCTTTCTTTCTAGAAGATTCAGCTTTATGGTTGAAAAATTCTTGACATGTTGACTCCTAGTGATTCAGAAATAAAAGAGATTACTTACACTGCTCTGCATGATTTATGTATACAGACTTATGTAGAAAATTAACAAATATATGCCCATAAAAGGAAAATTTTATAATATATACATGATTCGAATCTGAGCCGTCTATGAAAGCTGCTATCAAACTTTCATCATCAGTCACCGTCAAAACACGAAATACAGGCCAATTTTGACTGAGGTTGAATTCTGAAACTTGAATCTTGAACATGTTAGACCCTAGAGGGGGGGTGATTAGGGTCTTATGCTAATCTAATCCGATTAAATGTCAATTAAAATAAATTAATAAGTTATCCTAGCAAGTATGAAATACCACAAGATATATGAGTTAGGATAAGCAATGTAAACAATGAGATATATCCTATATGATGAATTATATATATATGCAAGGATATATAAACTAACACAAGGGGTAAAGAATATGAACTAGATAGTGGATCATATAAATAATGAGCTATGGACAATGGCGATATAAGATATGAACATAAATATAAATGAACGCCAAATCACACTCAAACACACTATATGATCACGGAGTTCAGACCTTCCGTCCTACGTCTCCGCTCCCCACTCCCGGGGAGAAATCCACTATCACAACCGGGTTTTCTACGCTCACCCGAATAACGTTTACACCTCACAGTGTCGGTTTTCAACGCTCACCGAACAACGTTCACTCCTCACACTCGGTTTTCTAGTTCACCGAAAACTTCACAACACACTCGGTTTTCTAGCTCACCGAAAACCTTACACCACTCATAATGTAACAAATATAAATTTGTTCTCTACAATAGATGAGAACACAATTAAGCACAACTCAATGTTACAATCTCTCACAACCCTAATATACTATGTATGCAAATACAATAAGCTCAAGTGGGTGTGTGTAACAATGAGATAATATAATCAAATCTAAACTCAATATAAAAAACTAGCTTTAAAGAATGATAATCAAATAACTAAGCAAATGTAAAGCTAGATAGAGTTTAGAAAACTTCTCCAATAGATGACAAGATGGAGAGATGGAGATTGGAGCCCAAACAAGAAGATGATCTCCTCCACTTGTGAAAACAATCTTCAAACCAAACAAACACTAAAACACACTTAAACCCTTGTTTAAAACTCTTTAAACTTGTTTAAAACATTTCTTGAGTACCCTTAGAAGTATGAGGGCATGGAGTATATATAGGCTCATGAAACAAGCCCAAAAACCCAAGAAAACCAAGCAAAAAGACAAAAAAAACGGATATATCAAAATCTGGGAATTATAGCCGTTAGCTACAGTAACCAACGTCCAGAGACATTTCCGATCGACCGGATTACTGTAGCAGTACGCAGATATTTTGTAAAATCAATTTAAAATAGTAAATGAACTCCAAAAATTATGAAATTTTGTGAGAATGTTCTAGACATGTAGAATAACATGTCAGACAAAGAATTTCTGAAAAATCTTTTCCCAGTTGAGAGAAATAAATATTTGAACACAAATTTACAGTTTCTGAAAAACTGTTAACATATACGATTTTGTAAAATCAATTGGGCACAGTAAATCAACTCCAAAAATAGTAAAATTTTGAGGGAAGTTTCTAAAAATGTAGATAAACATGTCAGAGAAAGAATATTTCAAATATCACTTCCCATTTG